TCTATGGGAGGTAGAGTGACTCTCATTAAGTCTGTCTTGGCTAGTCTACCGATCTTTTACATATCGCTATTTAAGATGCCAGTTAGAGTTAGCCAAAAATTAGATAGAATTCAACGGAGGTTTCTATAGGGTAGCTCCCTAGAGGAAAGGAAAACTCAATATGTGGACTGGGGCTCTATTTGTACCTTCAAGGAGTTTGGAGGTTTAGGTTGGGTTGACTTGTAGACTAAAAATAAGGCTTTGCACAACAAGTGGATTTGGAGATACGGGAATGAACGAGAAAGCTTGTGGAGAAAGACATTGGTGGACAAAAAAGAGGGTGATAATAGAGCTCTTCTTCTGTGCTCAGGGAGGATAAACAAGCAATCCTTTATATGAATGAGCATCATTAAGTCCATGACTGAGGCTGATGTGTGTAGTTCCATTTTACGTGGAGGTCTTGGCTACATTTTAGGGAAAAGGGATTACCTTAATTTTTAGAGTGATGAGTGGATTAAAGGAATTGTTCTTAAACAATTGTGCCCAAGGATTTTCACATTAGCAATTAACAAGTTGGGCAAAGTAAGGGAATTTGGCCAATGGGTTGAAGGAGAATGGCAATGGAAAGTGGAGTTAAGATGAAATTTGTTCAGTTAGGAGATGTAGCAGTGGAAAAATTTGATGAACATAATAAATGTTCATCTAGTGGTTGAAAGGTATGAAGACACGGTTGTGTGGAAATGGAGTCCTAGTGGAAAGTTTTATGTTAGCTACTTTTGTAGATTTTTGGGTTTAAGAGCTAGGCAGGTGAACGATTTGTGGAGTAAGGTGTGGCAAGAAATAGTTCCTATAAAGTCGAGGTCTTTAGTTGGCATCTTCTCAAGGGAAGGGTTACAGTTAAAGCAGAGTTGTTTAAGAGAGGTCTATTAAGGGCTGACTCTGCAATTTGTGTCTTATGTAAAGAGAAAGAAGAGACAGTCGATCATTTATTTTTTGAATGTGAAAAAGTTGGAAGATTTGGTCAAGCTAGATTGATCAATAAGGGCTGTAATGGGCAGCTCAAGCTAAAGCAAACCCCTTTTTTCTTAATTAAAATGAACTTGTAAGGGCAGGGGATAAGAGAGTATAGCGTTTGGCTTTTTTCGCCATTGTGTGGACTATCTAGCTAATGAGGAATGAGATTGTGTTCCAAGGTAAGACTTGGGATGAGGACCACTGTCGGGACCTTGTCAGAGTTAGGGTTGCATGGTGGGCAAAAGCTAAATGGCCAATTGACTTTCAAC